GATATGAGCCCCTCCGGGCCTGTTTGGCAACGCTCTCTTTGACAAATGGGTAAACTTTGCAGTTGTATATATATATATATATATATATATATATATATATATATATATATATATATATATATATATATATATATATATATATATATATATATATATATATATTAGCTTAGATGACATTAAAGTTGCAGATAACAAATTTGTTTTCGTGGCGACATTTCGATATTAATTCATTTCGTTTATTCAATTGTTTCAAAGATAAGGTAACATGCTTGGTCGGGAAGCGGGAGCGATTGCTCTCGAATACTGACCACGGAAATTATATTTAGTTGCGAAAAACTGGCCATGTTTTTTAGTCGTTTTGAGAACATTTAAGTTTATGTACGAAACAAAAAACTTTTGATTTACAGACATACATGGAAACATAAAAAACTTTTGCACCAAGATGTTCTCAAAACATCTTGGTGCGAAAGAATGAAACGAATATTCGCAAACACTAAAAACCCGCCAAATTAACGAACAAACTAATTCTATTGGTTCAAAAAATTTGTTGATTAAGTGAAATAAAGTTTTAGAGTATTCTGTTGAAATGTTATAGAAATTGTATTATTCACAATTTGTTACGTTTTGAGATTTCTAGAATTGTTTTAAGAATATATATTATTTGTTTACAAAAATAAATGTTTTAAATATATTAATTAAATTGTCAAAATTTTATTATTAAATTCTTATAAGTTTATTATAAATTATAGATTTTATTAGTATATTTTTTATCGTTATGTATCTTTTAAAGCAATTTTTATGATTTAAAATAAGACTTATAAAAATAATTGCGTTTTCAATGAAGTTATAATCGTTAAAGTTAATAAAACTAATTATGTAACAAACATATAAGAAGTTTCTGGTTACTAAATACAAACAACACCATACAAAGTAACTTGCGGATGAACAAGCACCGCGCCTGAGGTCATGACAGAACACAAATATATATTGCAAATAATTAGATAAAAAGAAAAGTTTCTAGATATTGGTTTACTAACTCTTATTATTTTCGCTTAAGTTACCATTCTTAAAACTCGTTATACTTTTTTCTGCTTTAAATATTAATTAAATTTAAAAAGCCCACCCAGTGGGAAAAAAGACGTCGAAAAGACGTCTTTAAAAGTCTTATTTACGATGTCTTTAAGATGTCTTTTTTTAATCAATTGTGCAAATCTAAAAGACATCTTTTTTCCACATCGAAAAGACGTCTTTTTTTATTTTAATCTTGTCATAAAAAGACATAAAAATGGGTCTTTAAGACGTCTTTGTTTATCAATTATGCACTTCTAAAAAAGTGTTTTTTCTCAGGGTCGGAACGATTTTTTGCCATACTTATTAGTATACTATAGTATCCTATTTACTATGGTATTCCTACCTTTCTAATATGAAAAACTATTTTTTTCAAATAAAAATGATAATAGCTTTTCATACCAAGTATGATAAGTTTTTTCGATGCCTAGAAAAAAACCTCGTTTAGATGTCAATATAAAAGAGGAAGCATTTTCTACATCTTTTATATGTTTAAATATAGGAGAATAGTTTATAAATAAAACAATAGTATTGTTCAACAGAGTATTTTTTCGTCTTTCTTTTTCTTTTCTGTTTCTTGAACGAGCTCTGTTTCTTGGCGTTGTTGAATAAAACTAACAATTTCACGTCGAGAAATCTTTTTATACAAGCAGGTTACGACTTCTAGCTGGTTACCACTTCTAAAAAACAAATGAACATAAAAAACAGTCTATTGCTTAAATCTAATACAAAAAAAGCAAATGAAACTTGATTAGCTGAGTGGAGCACATTATACTTACTGATTATTAATTTACAAAGGGCTGATCCTTTTAATCCACTCATGTTTCCAGCGCAGTCCCTTTTTTTTGAACCCACTGGGTTAGATTGGGACAGGAGTCAAATGGTAAACAGTCTAAAAATATATAAAAATGAGTGTGTTAAATAAATTTATAACCATCAAAATGACTGTACAACGATGTAATTTATTATGTAGTACTTAAATCAAGCTAAACATTTGCACCTCTCAGATTTGCTATGAAAGCCAAGTTATTAAAAACAGGTATTGATATTTTTCTGTCTTCTATAACATGACTTTTTAATTGAATTTTGCTGAAATTAAGTGTTGTAGACTCATAAAAATTTAAAAATCCGTTATTGACTAAAGACTATCAAAACAAAAATAAAAAATAATTCAGCTAATACACCTTGAGAGTTGTTATTCATTTAAACTGGAAAAAAGTATTAGTCAAAGCTCTATTTTAGCCTGAAACATAAGGATGCTTTACTTAACAACATAAAATCATAAAAACTGGCGATATCATTAGCAACACAGATGAAATACACATAAACAAAAATGAAGACTAGAAAGCTGCAATGATGTTTAGATATAAGAAAGTGTACCTTTCCAGTATCATTTTCACTTGGTTTTTTGTATCCAAACCAAAAATTTTGCAAACAGTTCTAAAGATAAATCTGTTTTCATTATATGTATTTTTATAATTGCTTTGTTAATGACAAACAACAGTTAACAAGGAAATAACATATTTAACATAAAAGTAAAAGCCAATCTTTTGTATAAACAATTTCATCATTCAACTAAATAAAAACAACAAAATTATTCAGATCATTTAAAAATGTATAAAAAAAAATTCCAAGCTTACTTGCATGCTTCTTTTTTTCTATCGCTCATTTCACTGGCACTTGAACAAGTAAATATAGAGAGAAATAGTAATATATATTATAAGTTATATATATATATATATATATATATATATATATATATATATATATATGTATATATACTATAATATATATATGCATTTATATTATGTATATTTTACATAATATATTACTTTATTTTATAAATTATTGAAAAAACCCGCTTACCGAAAAAAGTTATTTTTAAATAAATTTTCTATGCAAAAACATTTTAACATAAAAAAAGTTATATAAAAGTATTTTGTAAACAAAAAACGGGCCAATCAGAACATAACAAAGATATCATAATTACGATACTGTGGGTTAAAACCCATATTTGTTAGGTTTTATTGGCAATAATTATTTTTAATTTTCTTAAACAAATAATGATTTCCTTATTAACAACCAATTGACGTCTTTTCGACCTCTTTTTTGAAGACGTCTTTTTAAAAGGCGTCATTCCACATCTTTATTTAGGCTTATAAGATTATAAAAAGACATAACAAGTCATAAAAAAGACGTCTTTTATTCGTCTAAAGATGTTTTTTTCCCACTGGGCACTCACTAAAAATCATCAGCAATATTGTGAAAAACAGAGTTTTGGATGAATATATATATATATGTATATATATATATATGTATATATATATATATATATATATATATATATATATATATATATATATATATATATATATATATATATATATATATATATATATATATATATATATATATATATATAAAAAGAGAGAGAGAGATTTTACATTTTTATATTTTACCTTTTCGCAAAATGTAAAAACAAATGTCGTAAAAAATTTTCTTAATCTAATGAAAAAGCATTTTCCGAAAACGCATATTTTTGGCAAAATTTTTATAGGAATAATTTAAAAGTCAGTTATAGCTGTCTCCCAAACATTACCAATACTATTAATTTACCCAATAAAAAAGTATTATCTAATGTTTCCAACACAGTTGTTCCAACGTGCAAGGTATATGTCTTAGTAAAATTATAATTTACGTCTGCAATGTAAAAACATTACTGCAGGATAGTGGTTTAAATTATATTGGTTTAACGGAGCACACCTTTAAAGATCGCTGGTATAAACATATAAACTCCTTTCAATACGAAAGTAAGGCTAATGCCACAGAACTTTTTAAATATATCTGGGAAATAAAAAAAAAAAGGATTTTCAAATCCTATTCTTATGTGAAAAATTATTGATAGGGCAGAACCTTTTAAACCTGAAATAAAGTTATGTAACTTTTGTTTAACGGAAAAATATCATATCATTACCTCAGGCTCGGTCAGGAAGCGGGAGCGATCGCTCTCGAGTGCTGACCACGTAAATAATATTTAGCTGCAAAAAGCTGGCCAGGTTTTTTAGTCGTTTTGAGAACATTTTAAAACGCAAAAAAAAAAAGCGCTAAAGATTAATTGGATCGATGAGAGACAATTACAATAAAAAAAAAAAATTAGGCAAATAAAATATCTTTAAACGCGAAAAAACTTAAAGCAAAATAAATTACATTTGGAGCAAATATTTTCGAAACATCACTCTTTTATAATTTTTTTTATAAAATTAAGCAATGTTTTTTTATATAAAGTAACAACTTACGATTGTTTAAAAGGGAAACAAATATTCTTTATTTAACAAAGTTTGCAAGTTTTAGTTTCATTGAAGCTAAATTATTTTATAAATAAAAAAGTTAATTTTTTTAATACCTTGTTTATGTTTGGCTTAATTTAAAAAGTTTAACATATTTGAAACAATTCTTCTTAGTAAGATAAACAAATGAAATAATTAAATCATTGAATTACTATAGAAATTAAATTATCAACTAGATAGAACTAGATAGAAATCAACTAAAAAGTTTAAAAAAATTTAATGACGAGAAAGCGAAACTGCTTCACAACATTGCTGATGATGTTTAGTGAGTGCCCAGTGGGAAAAAAAACATCTTTAGACGAATAAAAGACGTCTTTTTTATGACTTGTTATGTCTTTTTATAATCTTATAAGCCTAAATAAAGACGTGGAATGACGCCTTTTAAAAAGACGTCTTCAAATAAGAGGTCAAAAAGACGTCAATTAGTTGTTAATAAGAAAATCATTATTTGTTAAAATGGTTAATGTCGAAATAAATCACTTAAAATTTCTTAAGTTTCACAGATTTTCTTTTTCTAAAAAAGATAATATCTCAGCAACCCTAAATTATAGTATTTATAAAATTTGAATGTTATTTTTTATTTAGGTGACATGGGTGTGGGAAAGTCATGTCTTTTGCATCAGTTTACAGAAAAAAAATGTATGTATTTTCAAAATAATAAAATATTTAGTTATTTTAAATAATATAATATATAGTTTATTAATATTGGCAATTTCATATTAAATTAATTATGTGTTGTTTTTTCTCATTACTTTAATCTAGACCTAAAATATTCTTAGTAATAATAAACAATAATAAATAAACAAGAAATTTGTAAACCAACAATTACAATAGGTAATTATTTTAAATATCTGCCATTGCTTTTTATTTGTAGATAAAAGTTTAAATGTGACAGGTATTTGAGACAATGATGCAATTTAGTATGTTTCAAAAGGTTAAGAGAGTTGTCTTAAAAGTAGTTCAATAATTTTGAAATGATGATAATCATCATTTGAACAGTTACAAAGCTCAGGAGTTATTTTGAACATAAAATTAAAAAAATAAACGCAATGGTAGAATCTTTATAACTAAAATTAGATTTCTTGGTATGTAAACACTCTTAGATGTTTCATTTTCTTGCTTAGCTTGTACCAGCAGTAATATGGATGGTCTTTTCTAAATTTAAGCTTATCATTAGTCAAAAATTATTTCAAAAATTAAATAGAATTTTATAAAAAAAATTTGATTGTTATGTTTTATTTTATTGTTTATTTTAAGTTATGGCAGACTGCCCTCATACAATTGGTGTAGAATTCGGAACCCGCATTGTTGAGGTAGCATCTCAGAAAATCAAACTTCAAATATGGGACACGGCTGGTCAAGAAAGGTTTAGAGCTGTTACTCGAAGTTATTACAGAGGTGCTGCTGGTGCTCTTATGGTTTATGACATTACAAGAAGAAGTACATATAATCATTTAAGTAGTTGGTTAACTGATGCTAGAAACTTAACTAACCCCAATACTGTAGGTTTTTTTAAAAAAATTTCAAGTTAAAACCCATACACATGTTATGTCAAAAATTTATTTGAAAAATAATTCATTTATAAAAACATTTTGTTAAATAAATAAAAATTAGCAATATACTGATACTAGTTATTTATATATTATTAAATAAATGTATTTCTAATATGAATTTAATTTATAATTTTCATATTGCTTTAAACTAAGCGTTACAATAACTTTTAAAACTATTTACTAAGCGTTACAATAACTTTTAAAACTATTTACTAAGCGTTACAATAACTTTTAAAACTATTTACTAAGCGTTACAATAACTATTTTTATGCTTTATTCACTGACTTTCTGTCAGTAAAAATGTGCAATATGTGTGTGTTGTGAGAAAAAAAAAATTATTTTATAATTAAATAATATTTATATAGGTTATTATTATGATTGGAAATAAATCTGACTTAGAAGCCCAGGTAAATTATTCTTACAAAATTGAAGTTCTAAAATTCATACTTTTTTTTAAACATAATATGTTTATAATGACAATGATGATCATGAATAATCCTCATCATGATCATCATATAATGATTATGTCATCATGAGCATTATCATGAGCCTTATCATAATTATTATAACAAATATAATGGTGATAATCATCATCATGATGAGCTTCTTAGTTATGTTGTTATGTTATGAGCATTATTTGTGTGTTATTTGTCATGTGTCTGACCTAAATGTCAAATGTAAATTTATACAAGCAGTTATATAGGTTAGTTTGAGCTTTTTTCAGTGCTTGTGAATTTAGAAAAATTAAAAGTATACTTGTATTATCACTAATTATATCAATATAACACCAATTATATAAAAAATATCATTAGTAAAACCTATGATATATGAGTCTATATCTTGTATTGATGGCAAGGAAACTGTGTATTTGTATATTTTATGTGTTTAGTTTGTTTTAATTCTTTTTGTGGGTGTGTGGCTATAATAAAGTAAACAAAAATAATTGTTACCTGAAAGGTAAAAAAGTTTTTAAGTCAAACATCTAACTTGGCCGATAACACTGCAGTTGTTTTTAAAATGAATCATAAAGTATAAATGAAGTTTACTAAAAAATGTAGTGATTGAGTTTTTACCACTTGTATCAATAGATTATACAATCATTGACTCTAGACAGTAATATTTTATATTGAAAGATAATCTACTTTTTTGGAAATTGATTCATTTAATTCCAAATTTGAATTAGTTGTTTATTTTTTTTACCTTTTTTATTTTAAAGTCACAAACATCATAAGTCATGTGAACATCATAAGTCAAATAAACATCTCAAGTCACATGAACATAAATCATAAGTCACATGAACATAAATCATAAGTCACATAAACATCGTAAGTCACATGAACATCATAAGTCGCTTAAAGATCATAAAAAACTAAATGTATTAACACGGTTTTATGAATGCTAAAAACAAAAATTCTAAATTAAATTTATTTAAAACATAATTTATAACAGGTTTTTTGTTAAAATTTTTATGCATTTTATTATGAAACCTCAATAATAATATTTAGATTAAGAATGATCTTTTTTTGTAAAATCGGTAGTTTAAAACTTGGTAGTTGCATTTTGAATTAAATAAATATTTTTTTTCAAATCAAAATGCGTTTCAAAATTACATTTTCTTTTCAATTCAAAATGTGAGTTTAATATTTATTTTTTAACATTATAGCATTTTAAATCATGTTTTTCTTTCAATTCAAAGTGTGTTTCAAAATTACATTTTCTTTGATTACTTAATGCAAATGTATCATATATTTTTTTAACATTTTGAACCATGTGAATTAAACAGTTTTATTTACAGTTGTTTTTCAGAAGTCCAAATTATTTTAGTTCATTTTTGTCATTATTTTTTCTTCCGTGTTTGAGAAAAGTTGCCAAAGTTTTAAAAACTGGACTACTGATAATTATAGCAAACAACTAAAGTAAAACATGAAAAGTATTTTAGTTACCTGAAAAGCTACTGGACAAAAACTTAGGTTACACCACTGCAAGTAGAACCTTACATTCAAAATCAACTGGTGGCTCCTTTTGCTTAAAAAGTCTTTAAATTTTATGTCTATATTTTATGTATAAAGTTTACAAGACCGTGGTTTTTCACTTTAAAATTCAAATTTTTCCAAGAGAGAAAAATTTATCGATATCTCTTCACTTTTTAGCTTTTTATATTAAACATTCATATTAAAGGGAGTAACTAATTGTTCACTGAGAGAAAAATTTATAGATCTCTTAACTTCTTAGCTGCTATAATTCAGTGACATTTACTGCAATATAATAGTTCATCTTATAAAGTTCATAAAATCTATCATCAACTCAAAAATTGCATGTGTGAGACAGACTATGTGAATAAAACCTGCCTCTTCTCAAAATTGCGTAATAACATTCGCACCATTAGTAATTGTTGCTACAATGTTGTTGTCCAAATCAAGCTTAAGTTCAGACAATCTTGATTTAACAAGTTAAGTAGTTTTTCAGTTTTCATGTTTCGTTTGGCATGAATCATTCCAAGTTAATGAAAACCATATATACAATGTTAGTTCAGATTCATGTTATGAAGGTATTTGATTGAAAAGGAATCATCAAAAGTATTTAAAAAACAACCTCCTTCTTGAATCTTTTGAATTGCTTGCTCAATAATGGTGATAGTTTTAGCATGATTTATCATAAATCTCAATCATAGTTGATTTTTGTTGTGATCAACTTTAATTATTACTACTAATAAAAGTTTTATGGAATACTGTTGCCATATCTGGGGCGGATCTTCTATTGATGCCCTATCTCTTTTAGACAAGGTGCAAAAACACATTGTAAACATAGTAGGGCCTGCTCTTGCAGCCAACCTACAACTCACATTGCCGTAATGCTGGTTCTCTTTCTCTTTTCTACAAATACTATAATGGGCACTGCTCTAAAGAGCTAGCGTCTCTTCTGCCATTTACCAAAATTCATTCTTGTGTTACTCGTCATTCAATTAAGTCTCATTATTTTTCTGTGACTGTTCCTAAGTGTTCCAAAAACATTTAATCATCTAGTTTTTTTTTCCTCAAGCATCAGTTCTTTGGAATTCCCTTCCTTTATCTTGCTTTCCTGATTCATACAATCTTTTAAGTCGTTGTAAAAAAAAAAAAAAAAAAGCTTCCATATCTGTCTGGATCCTAGATGTTACATAGGAGGCATATTTATCAGCAGAGAGAAAAAAGGCATTAACCTAAGGACCCTCATGAAGAAATTCACTAAAAGAATCACTGTCATCTTTCGGGTGTAGTAAATAGTGTGAATAGGGTGAGTCTAAAGGAGTACAAGATAAAAGATATTTAGAGATCATTGCATGATCATGCTAAAGGAGAACAAGGAGAAGCTGAACACAAACTAGATAAAAGAATGGTCAGATGATTTAAACCTTATTTCACAACAATTAGTTAAATGGATGCGTAAGTATACCTCCAAGCCAACTGTGTGACTGATGTCAAATGTAACATGTCGTATTGTCAAATGTGACAACAAGTGTGACTATTTCAGTCTTTGCGAATCAAAGAATAGTGCCCATCAATATTAAGATCTGAAGAAGGAACAGACAAATTAAATATAGTCTTACAAAGAGCAAGCAAGTCTACTGAAGTTTGCAAGAGATAAGATTCAACTGATGAAAAGTTACTTCGAAGACCACGAATATTTGTGAAAAATATATTGAAACAGCTAGATGATGGTGGTAATGGTTTTTTTATGTTGTTATTTTTGGTTACTTTGGGCATGGAATAAGTTTTAGAGCTGTACCCTTATTAGGAAATAACAGGAAGAATTCCATAGTCACTATTAAGGAAGCACAATATAAAACCTATGAGTAGAATCAAGATTCTGCATTCTTCATCGTAGGCAGGAAACAACGTAACACGTTTATTCTTATGCCAGCCTAGTAGATGAAGAAGGGGTTCAAGACTGGTCAACATAATTATTCTGCTTACCCCTGAAGTCTTTGCCTAGGAGGCCTTCTACACCACAGTAACTGGATGCAGTTAGCATCTGCCCAAAATGAGTAGATATACAAACTCTGACTTAAAAGTTCTCTACTTTTACCTCAGAGTTTATTTCTCCTAGCCTTTGCCTATAAAAACCATACCCTTCAATGTGACAAGGCATGGGAAAGGTACTAGTGGGTTACATAATACCAGTAGCAGGGTGATTGTGATAATCCTGAACCAGGCCTGACCCAGAGTGGTTAAAAGAAATTACTTCTTATAAGCAGAACTTTAAAACATTTTTTGGGATATTTTGGTTAAGCATCAGAAAAAGCACATCTAACAGAGCACTAGAGATTAAAGTGAGCATAAGTTGCATATTTTGAGTCACTAGTTTGTAACTGAGCTTTCACGGCATCAGAGATTTAAGCAGAACACAAAAATAATTATAGTAATTTATGGTGGAGAAAACATTGTGCCAGGTTCAGGCGCAATATTTGCTCCCTCATATAATAACATACAGGCAAATGAACACCACCTGGGAAATTTCAAAAAAATACTTTAGTAACAGTAATGAAAAAATTAGCTAAGTTCAAAAATCTTCTAATTTCTAAAAATTTGCAAATTTCAAAATCTAGAAATTTTTCAAGGTAATGGGTAATAAATAACCTGGTAAGAAACACTAATATATATATATATATATATATATGTATATATATATATATATATATATATATATATATATATATATATATATATATATATATATATATATATATATATATATATATATATATATATATATTAGTGGCTCTGTACGATGATTATGCAAGTATACTTTTCTGTTATCTTTCTTAAATTACTTCTTTACTTCTTCTAACAATTGTTAAGTTAAACCTTATTACTTGTTTAACTGGACATTTAGGTCAGATGTACAGCGCATAAATAATATTGATTGTTATCATGATCATATTCGTGATCACAAACAATATATCATTAATCAATGATGATTACCATCATGATTGTCATCATGCATGTTAAAAAATACACAGTTTTATTGAAAACACAAGATTGTAAAAAAATTTTGTTGACAAATCTCAGTTTAAACATTTTATTAAATATTTGTTTATACATTTATTATTTAACATTTCAAACACAGAGAGACGTGACATATGAAGAAGCCAAACAGTTTGCAGATGAAAATGGTAATGATTTTATTATTTTTTTTAAATATGTAACAAAATTAAAAAAATTAGTTAATTTTGATAATATTGTTATTTTTTTAGGTCTGCTGTTCTTAGAAGCCAGTGCTAAAACGTAAATACATTTTAATTAAAATTTTTTAAATTTTAATAAAATATATATTTACTATACAGTATGCTAGATTATGAAATTTACACAAAATGCAGTAAACTAAATTGTTTCATCACTTGTGTGATTCGTTTCATTACTTTTGTGAAAACATTTTGAAAGTTTCATTGCATAAAATAGTCTTATCATTCCTCCACTAGACAAAAAAAATAATAGTTAATTATATATTTAAAATGTTAGTGTCTAGAATATTTGCTTTTGGTTATAAATATATATATATATATATATATATATATATATATATATATATATATATATATATATATATATATATATATATATATATATATATATATATATATATATATATATTAAATTGTTGCATTTGTGTATGTATATGTATGAATATTATTTTTGTTATATTGAGTATAATATAATATAATTGTTATATTTTATTATTAGCTAAGTTTTTATTGTGTATTTTTTATGGTTTCAAAATTATATTAATTTGGACCACAAAAAAAGAACCTCTTATAATATTTTTGTGATATTACACAAAATTTCTTGTGAACCCATTCGGCATTACAAATTGAATTACCCATTTGATATCAAAAAATGCTAACTAAAATGTTAGAATTTTTTTATACCGCTTTTCATTTACTGTACTAATTCAATAAGGCACTGTTATTTACAGAAAGTTTTTTTTACACAGACTATTTTTTTATTTTTTATTGTTTGCTGGTATCCCTAAAATGTATAACAAAATGGCACAAGATTTCAAATATTAGGATATAGAAATTTTATTTAGGGGGTTTCTTAAGATCTATAAAAGGTCAAGTTAAAAGCCTGACATTTTTAAAATAATAATTATATAAATTGATTATTATATTTTATAATTTTGTTTTTATACAATGTATGTGTTAGCGCACCATAAAACACGAACACGCGCGCATTAGGTGGTTATAATTGGCATAGAGGAGTCAAGGTTGATTTCTAAATGTGGGTCATAATGTATTATGATAAAGTTTAATAAAAATTTTTTTTTTTATCTATTTAGCTAAGATAATGTTGAAGAAAATATTTTTTGATATTTTTAGGGGAGATAATGTTGAAGATGCTTTTTTAGAAACTGCAAAAAAAATATTTCAAAGTATACAAGACGGAAGGTAACTTTTTATTTTACAATAGTTTGTTGCATAATTTAGAATTTTTTTGTTTCTGAAACCATTTCATTATTTCTAATTTAGCCTCGACCTTAATGCTGCAGAATCTGGTGTTCAACATAAACCGCCTAAAAAGGGCGGACCAAGTCCTTTTCCACAAGAAAATCCACAGAACAAAGATGCTTGTGGTTGTTAATAATACTTTTTATTAGTCTTTTTATGCTTTTCTGTCGTCTTTTTCTTTTCGAAACAATGTGTTACATTAACATTTCCAAAAAGTAGTACTTTTTATTTTTTATTTTTTTTTGCAACACAATTAGAGTTTAAAAAGGGAATTCATGTTTTATACATTGTTACAAAATAATATTTTGCTTATTATAAATAAAATTAATTTAATGTCTTAAGTTCTACGCGCTGCATTTTGGTCTACTTCATTCTGTTAAAATATATATGCCCAATGTAAATATATTATATGAATCAAGATTATCTCCGGTGTACGTTTTTTGGCTTTGAAAATCTTTTATTTTCTAACTTACAAAAATAGAATAAATATTGATTGGCTGATATCTGTGTGGTTAATTAAAACTTTTTTTACTTTACAATTCATTCTTGAAATGTTTTTCATGAAAAGGGAAATACAAATTTTTTTTTAAGTGTAACGTAACGTTTAAATTGTATATTTTCATTTTGTCATATTTTTTGTCTATGTTTTTTATATATGTAATAATTTAAATGTTCGCCTTTAAAAGAATTAATAAATCCACAATAAACATTCTAATTGTCAATTATTTTGTTCGTGTCGATGAGCAAAAATTTAATCCTAAATTTAATGCCGACCGGCGTTGGAATACGCGAAAAAATTGTGAGGAACGTCGCAAGGAATTCATCCCTTCCCTTTTTTTTCTCTCTTCATTTTCATTAAAGAAAAAAGAAAATTATGTGAATTTTAAACTTTTCTTTTACTATATATCAAAACAACTATTATATTATCATAGTAATTTGCACAACTATTATATTATCATAGTAATTTGCACAAAACTCTTATTCGATAAAAAGAGATACAAATTATTTGTAGTACTTACATACTTGCTTGTCATTTTTTAAGATATTTTTATGCTTAAACAAGATGCGCGTAACTTCACCGCGAAAGTAATGTAATGTTTTAACTTTTAAGATTATTTTAGTTTCCACCCTTCAAATAAAATCCCACAAGAAACCCACGTGGGATTTCCCATGTGGGTAAATACCATATGGTTCTCACATGTAACCCATGTGGGACTACCCATATGGGTTTTTGAAGTGGCGAATTTCCAAATGCAAAAATCCCATGTGTGTATATACCACATGTGACCCATGTGGGAATTACCCATATGGGTTTTAAGTGGCAAATTTCCATACGGATACTACATGGGAAAATCCGTCCCACATGAATCCCACACAAGACCCATGTGGAACACGGTTTTATTTTTCACTGGGTATGAATAAACCTGCTCAAATATTAAACTGTAATGAAAGTTGATTTAGGATTAATCCAAGAAATGAAAGAGTAATTTGAAAAAGAAGATGTAAAAATAATTAAAAAAAGAGAGCTTAAATACCCAATAACTCTGAGGTTTCCAACCTTTATGTACTCTAGAGCTTATTCTAAAATAGCTGTAGGGTAGGGTAGCGGGCACCATCTATTTTTAATCAACAAACTCCTCTTACTCTTATATAATTTATTTTCTTATATTCATAATTTATTAATAAAAAATATACTATTCAAATTACATACAGAGAAACATATTTACAAAACATAAATAAAAAACACAAAAACAAAGAAACATATTTTATAAAAAAATATTATGGCGATAGCAGAATCATAGCGGTAGTCTCATTGGTGAGTCGAGATCTATATCTTGAATTTATTAAGTTCATCTTTGAAAACAATGGTTATATATGTCGAACCAAAAAATGATTTAATTCTATATTCCACTTTTTCTAAAAATTGGAACTTTTTTCTGTCCACTGTATTCCAAAATGTTCTCTGATATAATGGATTTTAGCAAAATATCAATCTTAATGTCTAAAGTTTCTAAATTTATTTCTTCCTTCCCTTAAACATAATCTGCAAGACACGCGGCCAATTCCATAACATTTATTTGGCAAGTAAAAAGATTGATACAGAAAGAAACAATTGACTCAATATATGTAAACTGCAAAAATCTTTCTTCCAATTGTTTTTTAAGCCCTTGAAGTGCTTAAATAAATAACCTAATAAATAATTATCCATTTAATTCAATGTTACCTAGTATTTTCTTTATATGTGGAAAATCCACGAGAGACTTGATGTGCAGATAAGATATCAACAAATCCAAAATAGCTTAAATAAATTTATAGAGTTTATTATTTCAGCTATTTTTTTCTCTTTTCCCTGCAACTCCAAATTTAAAGAACTCTATTATTCATGATCTTTTAATTTTACTGAACTTCAGTAAAATTAAAAGATCTGTTCAGTAAAATCTTTTAATTTTACTGAACAGTGCTGGTATTCCATTGGTAGTTATCTCAGAAAGCTTGCGCAAAGGTATATTTATAGAATTGGCGTATGTTGTGAATGTACTGTAAATATCCTTACGCATCTTTTACTTTCATAAGTAATATTTAAAAATTATTATTGATTCTTCACAAAATAAAACTACAACATGACGAAGATTCTTCAATAACAAAAAAAAATTACTCTAATACAAATATATATAAATGAACTTTAAATTACAGCTATAATTGTATATAAATGAACTTTATATAACAAACTCCATTTTAAAAAGCTTCAAAAAAATAAAAGTACAAAATCCAACGTGATAAACTCTAACTCAAAAAATACGTATATAAACTCCAATAAGCTATTTAACAACAACCAGTATTCTTGTCTTTTTCCCTCTGTCTTCACAGTCTTTTTGCTCACATTTATAGAAGTTCTTGATTGCTCCGATTTTCGCTTAGCAGTGCGGTGATTTCTCTCAACAACGGACAATATGATGCTTGATGCCTCTACCGCACAACTAATTTCTTTAAGAATTTTACAATCTCTTTACTTTTGAATGCGGAATCATTACAGTCAGAATTTCTTCAGGTGCTCCTATTTCGCAATATATGGATTGAAGGTTTTAAATTACCTCAGTGCCTCCCTGTGAATATGATAGCTGACACCATAATTCGAACCTTGAAGTACAGCAGTTGATCAAACTCAGAAAAGGGTTCTCTCTGTATGGGTAATATCCATACAGAGAGGATCTTTTCCAATTCTTGTCATCTTTAAATTTTCCATGTGTCCATGAAGCAATTGCTGGATCTATTGATTCACACAGCTCACACTCCAGATTTGTTTTGCGCATATCTTCTTCTGTTGCAGTTGGATACTTTTTCCTTACAAAGCATAATGTTCGTCTGGCTCCAAAGTGTCTGTTGGCGTATTTCCAGCATTATTTTCTTATTTGTTATAGCGGTTCTAGTACAATTCGTGGAGCTGCCAAGTTTCAACATTTTCATCCACCAACATGGTACTCTAGCTAACGAATCGGCTAAATTATCTTTAGATGATATCAGCTTCAAATTGATTTCCAAGTTGCAGTTGTTGACTAATATCCGGAATACGTGAACTATTTGTCGTATTAACATTTCGCTCGATTCTTTCGACTTTAGTTGTAATTTCCCTGTCAAGGCGTTAGAGATAATTACAGCCTTTTAAGTTTCCATGACAATGCCATATTGATACCACGCAAAACAGCGTCCAATTCTGCCATATTTATGTGAACTTCAAATCAGTCATTGCGTAACCATTATTGCGTCTTCAACTGTGACTCCACTAATTTGGACAAGAGCTCCTAATGCCAAGAAACTGGTGTCGACCCAGATATTGCCTTCGCTGCCTCGCACTTTCCAATTTCCATAAGCAGGTTCATTTTTTTTTAACTTTTCTAGTACCTCCTCCAACACATGATGTACTCCCTCATTACGAATTTCAATGTCTCATCCATTTGTCAGAGAAACTGTCTTCCAAAAAAACCGTTTTCCTTAATAGTTTCTGCGGAATTTCGCCTATTTGATTTCCTCTTAATAACACCAGTTTTCTTCCCACTTTCTTCACCGTCAATCTTGGCACTTGCGCTCCGTGAACAATAGTTTTTTCCCCGTCTTTACTTTTTAAACCATACTTCAAAAAGTGCTTCCTGAAATAATGCAGCTTTTGATCTCATTGTTTGTTCTTTATACTTCAATAACCATCCTAGCTTTATCCACTCCTGAAGTTCTCTCTTGTACTCCTCCTTAACGTTTTCTGGAACCAATTACTGAGCCACCGTATTTGCAGATACTTCAGAATTGCCTCCACCTCTCCATACCCATTTTACTTTTCATTCTTTCCCTTCAAAAAATGGTTTTTTCTTGATCTCAAGTAGCGTTTTACTTTTATTATTCACTGCCGTTCACACGCTTCTATAGCTTCTCCAGATGCACAGTGGACCAGAATTTACTTTTACTGGACAAAATTCATGAAACTAGGGCTATATTGACTAAAATTAGGATGAGTAATAATAAGTTGTCTGCGCTTTATATGTAGGTGTTATTTTTTTAATTCGTTGCTATGGATACCAAATTTTAGATAGCAAAAATCTAGTTTTGGTATTTGCAGATATTTTTACTATGAGGTGGTCACCAAACTTTACCAACATAAGGTCGAGCTTTTTAAAAAAGTGAATATATTTTTTATTTAGTTGCTATGGATATTTAATTTTGCCTAGCAATAAATAACTTTTATTAGTTGCATACTCAATGCAACTAAGGCCTGGTACACGTTTTTTCGAACAAAAATGTAAGTTTTTTCAACTACAATATATGTAAATTTTTTCATCAAAAAGTATGACATATTTGGTATGTATAGAAAGATTATTTTAACCACTATTATAATCTGGTAAAAGTAATGCGACTATAACAAATTGTCAAGCGTAGTTTTATTTAGAAAAGATGCAATTTTCAACACAAAGTACCTTGGGGCTTGGCTATAGATAAGTCTATGAATTTGATTTTTGCATAAAAGTACGTATTGGTGTTTGTTTTCAATGAATGTAACTTGACATTTCTAATCAGACATTATTTAGAAAAATTATCCATGAAAAACCATTTTTTTTATGAAAATTGAAGTTACTATTTTCAATACCACACCTAAATGAGTAGGGTAGATTAGGGTTATTTGAGCACCTTGGTAATATGAGCATACTTGAAGTTTTCTATCTTGCATTTGCTGAAATTCCAAAAGCTTTGCATTTTTTGAATTACTTTTATAAACTGATTACATAAATCAGCCTGATTACTTTATTACGGAAACAAGTTATTAGTGAGTACTTTATATTTAAAAGGCAGTCTAAAAACTTGCTTTTTTAAATTTTTGATACAGTTAAAATGGTCTATGGAGTTGAATATTGTTGTTAAAGTCGTTTTTTTGCATTTTTTCATTAAAAATTTATTAGTTATACAAGTGTTAAATTATCAAGTGAGATCTATATAATTTAAAAATTTTATGCTCATGATATTAAAACATACTATTTCCAGGTAATTTGAGCATGCTCATATAATCCAGTGTTTTAGCATGAAATTGATCATTTGTCGCCTTTACGTCCGATTCCTGACACGCGCTTGGTTATATTATTATTAAAAAAATTGATGGGTTTTTTATTTTCAAAATTATTTGGTGATATATATATACAGGACCGGCACGAGTAGCTGTCGTGTGTGTGGGAGGGAGGGGGAAGGGGAGGGGGGAGTGCCATTACAACTTTTGCCGACTAGAACCAACTTCGATGGCACGTGCATCCGGATTTAACAAGGAAAAAGGTGATCTTTTTTTTGATGCCTTAGAGTCAATTATATTTAATCAGTATGGTAAAATTGTAATCCCACCAAGTCGCATCTATAATGCTAATGAAAGTAGCTTTTCAGTTTGTCATAATCCTGGCAAAATTGTTGCTCTAAAAGAAAAGAGATCAGTAGGAGCAATAACAAGTTTAAAAAAAGACAAAATCATTACAGTGTTATGCTGTGCGAGTGCGGTTGGAGCATATGTGCCTCATATGATTATTTTTCCTCGTGTACACATGAAGCCATCTTTTATGGATCAAGCACCCCAAGGAGCATTTGGAGTTGCAACAAAGAATAGTTGGATAAATGAAGAACTGTTTAATATCTGGTTTGACCACTTCTTACAATTTACTCAACCGTCAAGCTGCAATACGCCAACTTTACTTGTATTAGACGGTCATAGCTGTCATGTAAAGAACATAAAATTGATACTAAAAGCTCGCAGAAACAATGTGATTATATTAAGCCTTCCAAGTAATTGTACCCATATAATGCAGCCACTAGATATTTCTTTTTTTAAATCCTTAAGCTCGCGATACAATTCAATTGTGCAGTCATGGCATCGCTAACACCCTGGTAGACCAGTAACAGAGGCCGAGTTCGGAAATCTGTTCAGCACTGCTTATGGTGAGGCTGCTTCAGTGAGTAAAGCTTAGAGCGGATTTCGTAAATCAGGAATTCATCCTTTTAATTGTCTCATTTTCACAGATGAAGATTTTATAGCAGCTGCAGTGACAAATCATGAACAGAACACTTCTAACATCACACTCAGTGATTCACACGAAAAAGTAACAAACGCCCAGACCAATCTAACCAGAACACATTCTGTTTTAAAACAATGAAGTAATCCTGTCACTAAAATATTTGTCCAACAGCTTGATGAGTCTGTATCTCTTATAAAACATCAAGAAAATTAAACAAAAGTTAGTCGTTGTTCTCGATTATAATCATATCTTAAACCATATTAGTTTCTAAATGAAATAACAATAAGTGTAAACAACAACAATATAAAACAATATAAAATTAATATAAAAACAAGAAATGACTAATGTCACTATTTGTACATCCCCTTCCATGTTTTTAAGTGTCAATGAATATAAACATAATTTCTGGGTTTATTTCTTAAAGTCATCTAATGTCAAAGATTTCCCGGTTTCTGGTTGGTAGAATTTCTTGGAGATACGTAGCCTGGATGAACGTTTCAATGGTTGATCTCCTACGACTTCAGTATTTAATAAGGGTTGCATTGCTAGATGCAGCGAGCTTGTTGATAAAGATGCTGGCATCAACGGTAAGGGTACTGGAGTTGTTGGTAGAGGTAGTGGTGGTACTGCTGGTGCTAATGTAGGAGGCGGTAGCAATACTGTAGATGGTGCTAGTTCCGGTTGGGATGGTATGACTTTGTTGCTACTTTCTGGGACATACTCTGTAAATGGTGTTGGCGAATCGGCAGAGCTATTGTGACTAGAGCTTGTGTTTAGTGGTGTGGTCAATACAACTTCGGTTTCGTATGACTTTAGTGGGTTGAGGAATTTGCGCAAATATTTTCTATTTCTCAATGTTAGTCGACCTCTTCCTTCAACCTTAATGATGTATTGGTCATTTTCCTTACATTCAACAACTTTTCCACTACGATCCCATTTTTTAGGGTGGTTCCCTACTTGATTTTGTATGAAGACACTGTCTCCTTCATGTAGTAGTGTGAGAAAACGTGTGTGTTCTTGAAGTGATTCAAGGGTCTTTACATATCTTGTTCGTAATGCTTCTTCTTTTGCAGACCATGCATGTCTCCACTTTTTCAAGAATTGGTCGTTATTAAACATAGGTATTCTGGATTTTATCCTGGGCATGGCGTCGCGAATGGGATGGCCAAATAATACTTGAGCGGGGGATAACTGACAATTAGGGTCTGGTGTATTTCTTATTGTAAGCATTGCCCTTACAAAAGCGTTATTATTGAGATCACCATTTGGTCCCACATTATTTTCAAGGAGGCGTTTTGTTGACTTAACTGCAAGCTCAGCTCTTCCATTAGATTGGGGGTAGTGGGCTGATGAAATGGGATGAGTTATGCCCCATTGTTGTAGAAACTCTTTTGTTTCTCCAGAGGTGAATTGAAGACCACCGTTGGTTGAAATTTCTTCTGGGACTCCAAATGTTGTAAATAGTTTACGTAAACACGTGATAAGACCTTTTTCACTTATTCCTGATGTTCCTGATTTTATTCTGTAGGCTTCGGTCCATCCAGAAAGTCTCCAATGACCAGATAATCCCAGCCACGGAATTCAAAATAGTCAGCAAATATGCATTCAAATGGTGTCACAGGAATGTGAGGTCGGATGGGTGGTAGTCGTGCATTAGAAGGTGCATTTCGATTACAGCTGCAACAGTTATCGCGCTTACTTTGTATGCTGTGAGTGATACCTGGCCAGAAAACAGTGGCTTGAAGTTTGGTTGTCATTTCCGATACTCCTTGGTAAGCTGAGTGTAGTACGTCCAATATCTCTTTCCGTAGAGTCGGTGGGATTACAATTCTGTCGTTGTATATTATAACCCCGTCGGACACCATCAAGTCATTGCGGTATTCCCAGAACGGTAAAAGATTTGGTATGAAGTTATTCTTATTTTTTGGGAAACCGTTTTCTATTGCTAACATTAATGCTTTAAAATTGGTATCCTTTTCTGTCTCTGCTTTGACACTATCCCATGTTACTGCAATCATTTTATCTATGTCGTTTCGTATCAAGGCTATTATTAGTGATTCTGTGTTGTCAAAATCGCTATTTTGATTGCAAGTGGCTGAACTAACAGATTCCTTTGTGTTCTCTGCAGGGTAACGAAAAGTAGCATCTGCTGCCAGGTTTGTTATTCCTGGTTGATGTTGAATGGTAAATTTCCATGGCAAAGTTCTCTGTTTTAGCATGTTGAAGATCTGTTCAATATGCTCTATAGTTACCAGTTTACAATATAGATCTGTACTTGAAAATTCTAAAACAAAAAAGATGTTAAATAAAAAAACCTCGGCAAAGTTAGGACATACACACAGAAAAATGAAAATCAATTTAAATGTTGCCAGTGAAGTTCCAAGTAAGATTAATAAACCACAAGATGAAATGCTAGAGAACACAGTAAGTTGCCTTTCAATTTATAAATATATACTTTTACTTTTTGAACAGCTTTTTTAAAAATAACACTTTTTTTTTTCTGAAGAAAAAACCTTTTTAGATATTGTTTATAATACATAATAAATAAAAAAATTGAAAAATATATACACAGCAAAATCCAAAATTCTAGATTAAGAACTTTTGTACTTATTTTAAGAACTTTTGTTCTTATTTTAAGAACTTGATTCTTATTTTAAGAACCTGATTCTTATTTTAAGAACCTGATTCTTGATTGAAGAACTTGATTCTTATTTTCAGAACCTGATTGGTAATCCTGCAGTTAAGCGGCCTAAAATAAATTTATTTTTTTACTTAATTAAAATTTACGGTGGAGAAAATTTTTATGTAACTTAAAAAAAAAAAATTGAAAATTACTAATGAAGCGTGGAATTAAATTAATTGAAAGGATAATTAAAATTTGGTGGAGAAGGAAATAAAATGTGGAAGCGATTTTTACAACTTTCTGTTGAAAAATAATATTAGTCAGCTTTTTATCTTAAAATATATTTTGATTCACAATATCAGAAAAATACGTTTACAAAATAATTTTTTGGTTTAGTTATAATTTTTTTTAAAAATTTATAAAAATTTATACTACGGTGAAAAACAAGTTGTAGGAAAAATGTTAATAATTCTTTTTTAGATGGCACTGCAACAAGTTCGTCGTGGGAGACCAAGTGCTCCAACAACAATCATTGACGAAATTACAACAGAACAACAGGTTTAATTTAAATTTAATAAAAATTTTCGTTAATGACCATGCAAAAAATATTTTAGTCGATTAGCAATAAAAAAAAGTTTTTAAGTCTCCGCGAACAAGAGCGTGTAAAGTTAAAACATACTTTTATTTTAGGGCGCTTAATTGCAGGATTACCACCTGATTCTTATTTTAAGAACTTGATTCTTGTTTTAAGAACTTGATTCTTATTTTAGATTTCTATTCTTATTAAGATATTTCAATAAAAAAGATTGTTCCTAATTTTATAATATTGTAACATTTGTATATAATATGTATATATATATTTATATATATATATATATATACATATTATATACAAAGAATGTTTATACATATATATATATATATATATATATATATATATATATATATATATATATATATATATATATATGTGTGTATATCAATAGATACCTGCAGGTATACCTAAAAAAGGTGCAAGCAGGGCCTGATCTTCCACAAGGCACGTAAGGCCCGGCCCTAGGGCCACAAAATTTTCAGGGGCCCTCTAATTTTTAGCTTTTTATAATTTTTTAGCCTATTAGAACTTTTCTTACGTAACAGTAGAATTTAAAAATATTTATTTTATTTAAAAAATTTTTGGGTAAAAAAAAACTGAAATGATTTCAAGATGATTTGTTTAAATTTAATCTTTCCGCTCCGAAGTACGCTCTCGCTAGATCCGAAGTACGCCTTTTTGCGTTTTGTAAATATACCTCTATGTTTTACACAAAATCTCTAAAACATGTTCTGTTGCACGGCTGTTTCAAACCGAGCTTAACGGCTTCTTGTTATTTTTTGAAAATATTGACTTAAGGGGTGTTAATAAAACTTCTATAACTTTTAAAATATTAAAGATAATTTTGTTTTGTAAAAAGAATAAAAACACCAATAAAATGTTTCATCTTACGACATTTAATGCATTAGTAAAAAAACTTTTTTAAGTTTAAAAAAAACGCGACAAATGATGAAGTTGGCTGAATTCAAGTAATTTGATGTTACTTTTTATCAAAAAAAAATCGGAAAAATTTATTTCTGATAGTTATTCTCAAATATACCCATTGTTTGACTATTATAGAAACAAAAAAACCTTACTTAATTGTTTAAGGATAGCTAAAACAGACTTTATTGAGGTCTGAAAGCAAACCGCACTTTTCGCAAAGTTATGAAAAATGTAGTTAAAAGGGGGATTAGCTGTTAAAAGAGTACATTTTTAAACCTAGGAGTTCTTGTTTTAGAAACTTATTTTTCTAAGCCAATAAATTCATTGCATTGCAAAATAAAGTCAGATTTCGATTTTGGAATATTTAGTCAAAACATTTAAAGCTTAAGCATTTATTTTTTTCTGTGCATACAGTTCTAATAATATGGTGTTAAGTTGTTAATAAATAAAGACTCAATAAAATAAAGTCTAATAAAATAATTCATGACCAAATTTGAGTTTAAGTTTTTGAATTAGTCTCGCCTTTGGTAGTAGAATTATTTTATAGCACTTGAATCTTTAGTCTCTTCTCTCAGTAAATAAAGTGTTTGAATATACAAATAGCTAATTGAAATCTTTTGAAAATTTGTTTTTATTCCCATTAAAAACTGTTTTATAATCAGTTGGTTCACTAATAGGTTCTTTAAGTAGTAAACTATCTTTGTACATCCAATTGATATCAGATTCATACTCATGCTAAACCAGAAAAACAATTGCTCCACTCAAAATTTTGATAACGTTTACAAATTCTTAATTTATTGAACTAAATTTTTACACAAACTTGATATGAGATTTATATTCCATTCTTTGACCAGCGAGGAGGTATGTAGAGCAGAGGTACTGCCAAGGTAGAACTAACTTCTGGTGAAAAACATCAAATGGATATGTACAATATCTATAAAAAAATGTTACATATAATGAAGGACAATACATTTTTTAAATTAAATACACAAACATACAAGATCATACCCAACCAACATCCCAGTTGCTCTGATCACAAGTTAATATATAAAAGCTAGATTTTTACATACATTTGATGCAAGACTAGTTTTCCATTCTTTAACCTGAGCGAAGGTATTGCATAGGTATAAATAACTTCTAAAGATAGGAACAGAATGGGCACCTACCTAATATATAAAATCAATATATTAAAAAATAATATTTTAAACTAACATTACACAGATATTAAAACAGAATAAAATTATCTTATATATAAATTAAAGATCTCATATAATTTATCTTACTTGTAAATAGTTTTTGTTGTTGTTTTTAATTTTTTAAATATTTTAACTAAATTTGATGACCACAAACAAGACAAAGACCTTGTCTATAAAATGAATTTTCGCCGCGCTCAGAACACACAACACACTTTCTCACCTTAGAGGCTTGAAGCTTCCTATCAGCTTTGCTGTGCAATTCAAAGCGTTTTAAAACAAGATGCAGCTTCTGCTCCTGATTTCTTACTGAATGCAACTGTCTTAATTTCTTATTTACGCTATTATGCAAACACTCTCCCTCCTCTTCACTTAGCAACCCAATAGTTTTATGGAATTTTACAAATAATGGCACATTAAAAAAAAGTTCATGCATTTTCATTTGGAAAGCAAGCATGAAACTCAATAGCAAATAAATTTATATATTGATGAAGCTCAGTAATTTTGGCATCGATTAGAAATTTTCGCCAAAAAAGAATAGGTTGCAACTTATTAAAAACACTAAACACACGTACAAATCTATTTTTATTTGCTTCATCATCAATAACACTACAAAGTTTATAGTGGTTTCTTAATACTATTTTGCAATGATTACCTACAAATACATTACCCTGGTAAGCTTGTCGCTCAACCTTCATATCTTCAAGGGCCTTATAAAGAGACCTCTCATGAGGCCCTATGCTATTTTTATATTCTTTTTCTAGGTCTTCACACTCCATCTGCAATCAAATATACTTAACGTCTAAAAGTTCCTGTTGTGTGCGTATAAAAGAAATTTTTTGAGAAATATAAAGGTCAAGACATTCTATATCTTCACCCTAACATGCTAAACACTCATACTTCTCAATGTCACACAATACACTCTTTTCAGAATAACCAATAATTTCACAAAATTGATGAAACAATTTTTGGCACGCACCACACTGCACCTAATCAATGTTACAATTATATTTTGTAATTAAACACCTAATACTATCACACATTTCTTGCTGTTTACAGGTTATTTTTTTATTGGAGGAGTTTAGAGATAATTCAGAAATATTTTTATTAAAAGCTAACCAACGTGCCTGTAGATTTGCAATGTCTACAAATTGATTTCCTAATAAACGTAAAGCTTCTGCTGTTTTAGAACATTCAACGCTTTTAGCAGCCCACAATTCATTCGTTCTCACATTCTCATTATGCGACAAAGACGAAACAGCTTGACAATCTAAAGTCTTACACTCCTTCAACAATAACTTATACAGTTTGAACACAACTCCTAACATTGGAGTTGTGTTCAAACTGTATAAGTTATTCCCCATAATAACTTTAGATAATGTAGTGCCACCATTAACATTGGTGGCACTACATTATCTAAAGTTATTATGGGGAAAATCACAGGAGCAATAATTGAATTATGAAACTTACCTAAAGTTCTTAGGTTTCCACCTTGTCTATTTTCACAGAAGTTGTCATTGTATCCTTAATTGGCTCTGTAGCTCTACAGCATCAGAAACACTTAACTGCTTAACTAAACCCAACTTATTTGCAACACAACAAAATATTGACTTTTCACAAGACATAGAATCACAAAACAACATAGACAAGTCACTTTCTAAATCTGAACAAGCTAATAATCGAAAGAATATAAAAGCAAGTTTAGATCGTCTAGCTGCAGCATGTCTACCTTACTTAGAATAAGGTTTACCATTTCCTAACTTAATGTAAGTATATTTTTTACTAACTATTAGCTTTTTAACTGATATATTCTGTGGATTACTTAATTTAAACCCACAAAATAATTTAGAGGAACCAATGTTGTCGTAGTCTAAATAAGAATCAACCACGACTAAATCCTTATCGCTACTAGCAAAACATTTGCAAATTTGGCAACTGTTCTGGCTTAAATCACTAATTTTTGCAATTTTTTTTCCAATATTAATTTTTTTTAGCAATCTTACATTTTTGGCACGAGCAGATGCAAATTTACGCTGGAAATGACATTGTTACTGATCTTATCTGTCCTAATTAATCGCTTAACAAAAGGAAAGTAACACCTACCTTCCCAACCATTTTTCCATCCAATATGTTGTTTTAGAATTTTCCTCTCAGTTGAATACATAGTTATCAAAATAATATTGACTTATTAATCAATATAATAAAAACAAATAAAATAATATTAATTAACAAATATATGCACAAGATAAATGTGGATTTAACAACTTATCTGATATTAGTTTGATAATCCAAAAAGAAAAATATTCCGCGTAACTTTGTTTACTTTATACTTCAAAAATTGACTCGCCGAAACAGTTGTTTGGAGAATATTCTCTAATAAATAGTTTGGGACGTAACGCATAAAGGTTACGTCATCGCAAAAAAACGTCAACACAAATGTACGCCTAAAAATAACAAGATTAGTTGTAAAACATGACATTTTTGAAAACATATTTCATAACATAGCTGAAGGCACGTAAAAAAATTTTTTTATTTTCATTTGCATAAAAGGTTGAAATTTCATTAACTTACGTCATCCATCAAATAAGTTACGTTTTGCATTTGAAAACGATCAATTAAAAAACATAAATGCTTTAAAAACAGTCTTTTTGTAAACCAATCTCTAGGATGACGCAGGAATCTGATAGAATGGACATTGAGGGTTAAGTGTTCCAAATTTCAACTATCAAGCACAGAGCTATGTTATGAAATCTTAGTTGGATCAACTCATGTTTTCCGGAAAATATGCGAAAATTAGAAAAGTGGTTCTAAATTATTAAAAATATTTTGGCAATATTTATTTTTATACCAGTTAATATAAATATTTATTTAACAAGGAAAGATAGATCTTTTATATTTTTTTAATTGCAAGATGAAAGCATTTATATAAAAAAGTTACTATTAATTTAAAGTTTGTGAATTTTTATACTTTTTATGCGGAAATACTTTTTTTTTTGATAAACTCATGACGTCACGCTCGTTTTTGTATTGAGTGAAACAGCCGTGGTTGCATTTCTGAATTCAAATTATGAAAAAATGGTCCACAACAGTCCGGAAAAACTTTTTGGCCGATAAACAAGCCAAATGTTAACTTAAAAAAGCATAAAAATTATGACTTATAAAGGTCGCCAATTAGCTCAATCAGAAATTCAGAACTTCATAAATGAGCTAGAAAACAGTGAAAATGAAGATTGTGAAGATGATTAGTGGAATTAATGTCTATCAAAAGCGAAGTTATAAAAAGTCTACATTTTGAAGGGATTTTGAATCAATTTATGTATAAAAAAAACAAGGAAAAAAATATACTAATTTGGATACATGTGTGTTTTAACTGTCTAAAATTATTTCATACTTTCTTAAATGTTTCTTGTAACCACAGAAGTACTTAAAACTTTAGTTTTAAGTTTACTTGAAAAAGAGGACATGTCCTGCAAAAATTCACTTAACATATCCCCTTTTTCAAGTTAGGCTAACTTGTTTTAATAAAAAAAAAATAACCATAGAAAATTAAATTCTAGTTCAAACTTTTGAAATGTATAAAAATATTAAATGAGCAATAAATATAATTAAGCAGAATATATGAATCGCTAACTGTTAGCGATTCATATATTCTGCTTAATCATATTTATTGCACATTTAATATTTTTATACATTTCAAAAGTTTGAGCTAGAATTTAATTTTCCATGGTAATATTATTTTTTATTAAAACAAATTATTGCCATTATCTTTTAATTATTGCTCTGAGATAATTTTAAAAACTTCAATGTTTTTTTTGATTGATTTCTACTAAATAACTAAAAGTTAAGTAGTTTCTGAAATAAAATATTTTTAATTTTTTTTTCTAAATGTAAAATATTTTTACAATTTTTATACAGATAATCTTCTTGGTGGCTGCGACGTCTGATTTTGAAAGCTATCAACCCGGGTTAATTTCTGGGTAGCTGGTCATAGGTCAACTCAAACTTTCACCCCTCAGGGTTTGATAAATGAGGACGTTTATTCGTTCACATAATTTTTCGACAAGGGGGCCCCCAAATTGTGTTGTGCCTATAGTCCGTGTTGTTTTTAATCGGGCCCTGGGTGCAAGCATGCATAAGTGCGATTTCGTTTGAAGTGCTCCAAAGTTGTGCACTTCTTTATAATAAATGAGTTTAACAAAAATAAATATAAACTGCCGAGCGATGGATCAACGAGTTTTTGTATGGCTTAAGACTGCCACTTCTGTCTCCCCTTGCCCCCCAAGCTGTCATTAGGGCCCCAAAATCTTAAAAACCTATAATTATGCACAGTCAATTACAAGTGTTATGTTTATGAGCGCATGTTTAAAAAGTTCATATGAAATTTTAGAGGTTTTAAAATGGTTGCGGATCTTAGCTACATAATCTTTTTTATATAGCAACTTTTTTTTAATTTTGGTTTTGTAAAATTTAATGCTGCAACTTGTTTATTAAATTCGTGATGAATGGAGTATTTGGACCCAAAGTTGTTTATAGTATTCAAACCTAGTACCCAATTTTTTCATAAATGAAATACCACCAATAAAACTGTATTAAACCAGCAATATATTTTTCTAAAGTCAAATAGATTGTAATAGTAAAAAGTAAATCTCTTTTAATATAAATTTTATTTCTCAAACATACTACAAACACTCTAATATGATATATTATATATACTTATAATTTATGAACCAATAATTTTTTATAAATATCTAATCTAAAAACTAGACATTTAAAATAATTTACTTTTAAGAATATCACTCTAATTCTAATATTCTTTCTTTCTATCCAAAATTATCAAATTGTGAGCTTTTGTTCATCTATTAAATTGTTTATTTGTCTGAAATCACACACAAGTTACCCTACCTCTTTCAATCTGTAATTTCTTTACTTCTATAAAAAATTCTCAATATTATCTTCCATCATTTAGCAACCTTAAATTATATATTCTAAATGATTGTTCAGTTAAGTACAGCATAACAAATCACATCACAAACCAATGCATGAAATAATTTATCATTTTTTATTCATAAAATAATTTATTTTTTATATTAACTTTACATCACTAAACTTTACTACTAAAACTCATCTTTATGTTTTTTTATTTTGGAGAAATGTAATTAATGTTTGTAAAATGTTACGCTCATTGTGGGTTATTATTATTGCTTTTGGTATGATTATATATGATATAAATATCAACATTATTTTACTTCTATTCATATCACTATTACTTATTGTTATTGTTTAATATTAAATTTAATATTTATCAATATTATTATTACTATTATTATTGTTATAATTATATTAATACAAATATAATTGTTAACATTGCTTACCTTGTTATAATTGTTTTAATATTGTTATTGCTATTACTATATAATTGGTTTTTACATAAGATTAGTATTAGTACTATTTCTAAATATCCATTTGTATGTTGCATACATACACATATATGACATATATGTGTGTGTGTTTTTTTTTTAGCAATTGCAAGTTTCCAAATACATGTAAAGTAAAGTAAGTAAAGAAAACAATACTTTTCAATTAGTAAATTTATTATTATTAGTTAGTTTTATTTTTTACAATTTTTATCTTTGTTTTAATTGATCTAAGTATAGAATTTTAATTTATTAACCTGGGTAAATAAATTTCCAGTTGAGTGAGTTGATAGAGTTGCAGCATTTTTAGAGAAATATCAATGTTTTCCTTATGTGCTTTTAGTAAGATTTTTTTATTTATTTGTGATTTCATATATTTATTGGATAAAATGTCATAGTGTTTCAAAATCACAAATCCTTTTTTAAGTGAGAAGGTATTTTCAAAACTGCCATGTCCTCTATTATCTCTGCCATGTCCTCTATTGTTTTATAAATTTTCTCTGCTTTATAAAGTTGTATGCTTTTTTTATTATTATTAATTCAAATTGTTGGCGTCGTAGCTCATGTATTAAAGTCTTCTGTCACAGCTGACTCAGCAAGAATGAAGGCATTGTTACACTTTTGGATTATGGAATACACAAGTTGGTAGTTCCTTGCCCTCTGCTACCTAAATACAGGTAAGTGTGCATGCATACACAACCCTCAAAATTAGTAAAACTAAAGTGAGTAATAATTTTTTGAGCTTAAACTGTTTTAGGTTGGCATCAGATTACAATCGGCAAACATGAAGCCATTTTTACAAAGGTTTTACTATAAAAGATAAAAATGAGGTCAGCAAAAAATTGCCAACCTCAGACATTTTTATGTTTTTGCTTGGTTAGAGTTAGAGTTAGGTACAATAATGTATTGAGATCAATTAATAATTAAATAAGGAATTAATAAAGTACTTGCTGCAATTGCTTTTAAAAGACTAAAACTGGACATATTGTTTTAGAAAAAGCTGTAAGTTAGTATGATTTTTTGAAAACATTTAAATATATATATATATATATATATATATATATATATATATATATATATATATATATATATATATATATATATATATATAAATATATATATATATATATATATATGTATGTATGTATGTATGTATGTATGTATGTATGTATGTATGTATGTATGTATGTATGTATGTATGTATGTATGTATGTATGTATGTATGTATGTATGTATGTATGTAGTATATATATATATATATATATATATATATATATATATATATATATATATATATATATATATATATATATATAGGGTAAGGCGGGGTGAATTCGTCACGGAGCGAATCCGTCACTTATGCGACTCAGCTTTAAAATAATAATGCATAAAAACTAAGAAATCTATTAACTAGGTTTTTTCGAAACTTTTTCAACTGATATTTGTAGAATATTACTAAATAAATGTTTTATATATTTACCTCCGATTATTCTTTAAATATTGCAAATAAACATTAAAGTTGAAAAAATATTTTTCTGCTTAAATGCCTTTCGTCAAAAAATTTTCAAAATACGCAATGTTTTGACCACAAAGTATATATTTTTTGATTGATTGATGTCAGTAGTTTTTAAATAATAATTTAAGTTACTATGTTTTTGCCTTTGGAATCGTCACGTAATGATTGTTAGCACATGCTCAAATGAGGGGCAACTTCGTCGATGAAGAAAAGTTAATACGAAAAATAAATTAGGTTGTTTCATTATGCAAATTTTTAAACTACCGAGCGCCGTTTGAAAGAAAAACAAATTGTGATCAAAATGCGCTCCAAAGCTTTAGACATTTATAAGAGAAAGGCTCTTCAGAATATATTAATTTACAGTTAGCTTTTAAAACTTTTTGAAGTTTTAATTATAAACACGACTTTGATGTGAAACATGTAAACAAACTTATTATAATGTATAGTCTGAAATATATATACAGTAAATAATAAGTATATAAAACATATATGTTATATATTTTTAGGCTATCCACTGCCTATTTTTATACAT